ATGACAACCACACTCCTTTGTCCAACTATCGTCACGGCCTCAGCCAAAAAAGACCTTTCGCCTTGCTTAGGCCTACCGCCACAGCTATACCACAGCTACACCACAGCTACACCACAACTGCACCTCAGCTACACCACAGCTATACCACAGCTACACCACAGCTACACCACAGCTATACCACAGCTACACCACAGCTACACCACAGCTATACCATAGCTACACCACAGCTACACCACAGCTACACCACAGCTATACCACAGCTACACCACAGCTACACCACAGCTATACCATAGCTACACCACAGCTACACCACAGCTATACCACAGCTACACCACAGCTACACCACAGCTATAAAACAGCTATACCACAGCTACACCACAACTGCACCTCAGCTACACCACAGCTATACCACAGCTACACCACAGCTACACCACAGCTATACCATAGCTACACCACAGCTACACCACAGCTATACCACAGCTACACCACAGCTACACCACAGCTATAAAACAGCTATACCACAGCTACACCACAACTGCACCTCAGCTACACCACAGCTATACCACAGCTACACCACAGCTACACCACAGCTATACCATAGCTACCCACAGCTACACCACAGCTACACCACAGCTATACCACAGCTACACCACAGCTATACCACAGCTACACCACAGCTAAACCACAGCTATACCACAGCTACACCACAGCTACACCACAGCTATACCACAGCTACACCACAGCTACACCACAGCTATAAAACAGCTATACCACAGCTACACCACAACTGCACCTCAGCTACACCACAGCTATACCACAGCTACACCACAGCTACACCACAGCTATACCATAGCTACACCACAGCTACACCACAGCTACACCACAGCTACACCACAGCTATAAAACAGCTATACCACAGCTACACCACAACTGCACCTCAGCTACACCACAGCTATACCACAGCTACACCACAGCTACACCACAGCTATACCATAGCTACACCACAGCTACACCACAGCTACACCACAGCTACACCACAGCTATAAAACAGCTATACCACAGCTACACCACAACTGCACCTCAGCTACACCACAGCTGCACCACAACTACACCACGGCTACAGCACAGCTACACCACAGACACGGTGACGTCACGCCCGCGGACAGTCCCGTCACACTAATTAACGACTTCTAGATTAGCAAATGAGACAACGTTAAGTATCTGGGATTTGTGGGGATGAGTGTCCCGATCCTCTCTCACTTTTTTTTCTTATTCTGTCTGTCATTATGATTATTATTGGTTTATAATGAATAGGGAAAGGGAGGCTGACTTAATCTTCGAATTTAATCAAATTGATAGGGGAGAATATTCCTTGTTTCACTTATAATATTTATTGATAAGATTTACATTGTCGATATGTCGCCTATTTATCTTTTATATGAAAATAGTAAAAACAAATAAGATAAAACTGTTTCTTCGACCATTGTACTTTCGACCCAAATTCAACAGAGGAATAAACTCAAGCCGCCCACGAGCCTTGTTAGGACGCAAGCCATGCTGCTCACATTAAATCTAGGTCAAATTAGGTTTCCTCGGGGCGTCCTTCAAGTCCGGAACCGAAGAAGTACTTTGGAATGAAGTTAATCAAGTCCCAATGGCATGTCGCGGGAGGGAAGTCTGAAAAGAATTGGGCGCTGCATATTGGCAACAGTAATTACAGTAATTTAGTAAGAATATATTTCTAGTTTGTGTGTGTGTGTATATATATCTGTGTGTGTGTGTGTGTATGCAAATATGTATATATATGTATATATATATATATATATATATATATATATATATATATATATATATATATATATATATATATATATGTATATATATATATATATATATATATATATATATATATATATATATATATATATATATATATATATATATATATATATGTATATATGTATATGGTACATATAAATGGTTTATGTATAAGCATATATATACATATATTTACACACACACACACCTATATATGTATGTATATACGTATGTACATATGTATATATATGCATATCTCTCTCTCTCTCTCTCTCTCTATATATATATATATATATATATATATATATACATATATATATATATATATATATATATATATATATATATATATACACATATATATATATATATATATATATATATATATATATATATATATATATATATATTTTTTTTTTTTTTTTTTTTTTTTTTTTCAACAGCCATTCATTCCACTGCAGGACATAGGCCTCTCTCAATTCAGTATTGAGAGGTTATATGGCGGTGTCACCCTTGCCTGATTGAATGCCCTTCCTAATCAACCGCGGTTCGGCGCGTTAACACTTGTGCCTCGGCGGTGATTTCCCCTACGACACTTGCGTTTGACTTCTCAAGACGATATGACGTTTTCTCAGACTCGAGCAAGCAGTCAGAGCGCAGGCATTTTTTACAACTGCCGCGA